TGCGAGAACCATTCCTCGCGCGCCGCGTCGTGCACGTATGCGTGGCGTGCGCTTTCATGCAGCTGTTCATGACGCGGTGCGTGTCACGGCAGGCGAAGCCCGCGGTGAGAGGTGTGGTTCATGGCGCATTCAGCGAAGGCTGGGATAGGTTAGTGGTGGCTTGTGTGAGAGGAGGTGGGTTGGGAATTGGGAGAGAGAGAGGTTGTGGGAGGGAAGGGCCAGGAAGCGGGTGCAGGTGCGGGTGCATACCCTTGATCTCTGGGGCGCACATCTTTCGTACGCGGTCGTAGAATATATCCCGGACTTGTGCCCTCCTGCGACGCCGACAGCGGTAACGGGTTGCGTGACGGCATGGGCAGGCGAGGAGCCTGGTCGCCGCCTTGTGCGGCCATGGCGGCCATTCACTGCCCGGAACTCCGGGTTCGGGTTGTGGCTTCGATGTTCGGACGGTGTTTCTCGTGAGGTAAGTCGCCGGCTTTCTCAATCGTCGGTCGGTGGTGCGGGAGTGTCGGTAAGGAAGACTGGGGGTGTGTTGTTCGAGGTGCAGCGGTTCAATGTCGATGGTCGATATTGGACTGGACTGGACTGGCAGTTGCACCACCCACTGGAGCTCCAAAACACCCACCATTGATTGGCACAGTGCGGATGTCAATTCTAGCCAGCCAACCATGCCAAATTGGAGCCTTGATTTACAACTCGCACTGTCCCCTTGATATTTGTCTCTTACGCTCACACCACTCTATTACTTCGTACGGCAAATGGTCTTGACTTACGCCCACAACGCTCGCTATTTATTGAGCAGTAGTTGCCTAGGTACAACTATATGTAGCAACTCTATGCAAAGGTTCTACACTGTGGCATATTTACCTCTGTACCGGCACATCACACAGCCTTATCCATTATCTCCTGCCCCTTTACTTTTGGCTCTCCTCCTCCGCGAGCCCGTCCAGCTCCGAGTACTGCGAGCGGTCCAAGTCCAAGCTCTCTTTCTCCTTTTTACCCTTCTTGCCAAAGTTACTCAGCCAGCGCGAGGGCGCCTTACTCTCCTTGCCCTTGGTGGCGCTCACCGCCGGCGCCAAACTAGGACTGCTCGTGATGCTGTCGTAGCTGCGCCCGAAGAAGGCCGGGTTCAGCGCCTCGTCGGCAATGTCCTCAAAATCGCCAATGCTGGATCGCTCTATCGAGGTCCCCTTCTCCGAGGCGCCGCCGCTGGCCGTGCTGCTGGGACCCTTCTTAAACAGGCCCGACTCCTTGCCGCCAAGCCGCCCGGCGATGCTGAACTTGCTCGAGCTGCCCTTTCGGAACAGCTTGCGAACCACGTTATCGTCCTTGAAGCTGCTCGACAGCCCCGCGCTGGTGGGTTCTGAAGGCGTGTTGGAGAAGGGCTGGTCCAGGGAGAGCGAGTCCCGCGATTCGGAAACCGACGTTTGTGTGTGTACCGAAAACCCATCGCGAGACATGCGCGACTCCGGCGGAGATTCCAGATCAAAAGTCGGTACCTGCGACCCCTCGGGTGTCGCGGACGCATCACTGTTCTTGGACTTCTCCTTCGGGTCCTTCGCTTTGGACTTGTCCTTCTTCTCCGCCTTGCTCTTCTCCTTGTTCTCCTTGTCCTTCTCCTTGTCGGGTTTGGACTTGAAGAACGCCGTAATGTTAAACGCCGGCGCATTGGGGTTAAGTCGGGGGATCTTGGAATGGGTTGGTGGGCGGCTGCCTATTACCCCCACTTCGTTGACATTGGGCAACATCTCCTCGCCGAGGATTTCATCGTCCGCAGATGCGAGCGTCGTCTTCAGCGCCGACGGTGAGCCACCGTGGAGAGACGGACGCCGGGAGGGGTTCCTAGACCATGCATCGGGCGACCACAGGCGATTGGGTTTCCCCAATGTCGCCGCGTCGCCTGGCTGTGGCCCCCAGATCGAACCGGAATCGGTGGACGGCCGAGGGAGCTCGGCCGACGCGATGCTCTCGGGCCGCGGGCTGCCTTTATCCCTCTCCGGGAACAAGCCACCCGGGGCACGATGCGAGCTGGAGAAGGGATTGAGATTCCTGGAAAACATGCGGGAGTGCGTCGCCTGCCCCTCGGTGATCTCGGGGCCTACCGAGTTGCGGTTGAACACACCCCAGCTCCGTCGCTTGTTCATTAGGCTATCCGGGTCGTCTTCCTGTCTCGGAAATGACTGACTCTGCCCGGATTTGAGACTACCAAACGGAAGGCCACCCAGCCCTTCCGGCTCTGCGGCTTTGGCGGGCCTCGACCGCGGAAAGGGAAAGAAAGCGCTCAGCTTGTTCGGCGGGGGTTCTGTCGAGACGGGAGACGGAGCCGTGGCGGCCGGCATTGAGCGACATCCGATCGGAAACCTCGTTCTGAAAAGGAGGAAATGGAAGATTGCTCGACGAGCCGTGCGGGCTTGTAAATATGCTGAACGATCTTCCGGACGACGCGGGCGACTGCGGGTCGTTTTCGGGGGAAGCCCGTTGCGTCGGGAAATAGGGGTCCGGCCCGAACCTGGAAACCGGGCTGGGGTCATCGTCATCGATGTCCGCCATGAGGTTAGATGGTAAAAGAGCGGTGGCCGATGGGCTGAGCGGGGCAGTTCGTAAGCCCAGCTCATCCAGACGACTCATATCTGAGTGGTCCATAAACGGACCCGGGGCAAAGCCGGGCGGCGCGTTTGCAGAGCGCGAGCTGGCAAAGCCAGCAGGAGCCGCCATCGCCTGGTCGATTTGAGGAAACGGTGCCAGTGGTCCCGATATCGAGACACTGGAGATTGAATTCCCTGCCCGGCTTCGTTGGGTCAAGTGAGTGACCGCTGCGGGGTCGAACTCCATGCCGGAGGCATTGGGATGGCTGTACACACCACCGAAGTTGGCCTGAGGAATGTGCTGCACCTGAACGCTGAGAGCGCGGACTTGCTCGTCCAAAGCCCGGCTACGCTTGGCCTCAATAGCCGTAGTCTCCTGCAGTTCCCGACCTGTGCCGGTCCTGTACCACTCTCGTCGCTCTTCGGTGATCTTCTCGCGCCATTCGCCATCCTCGTCCCCGCCCGGAAGCTGCTTCCGAGCCTCTTCCAATTCCTTGACCTGATCTCTCCTCTCCTTTAATTCTGCCTCCAGGCGTGAGCACTCTGCCTGTAAATCGCTGTTCTCCTCCCGAGCCTGCTCAACCTTCTGATCCCGGTCTTCTTCCAATTCCGTCACCTGTTGGCCAAACTTCTCTCGCTCCTTGTGCAGTTCTTCCACACCTTTTTCCCACTTAGCAATGTTGTCGTGGAACTTGCTCCGCTCATTTTGCTTCTCCTTCAGAGCCTTCTCCTTCTGAGCTTTGCGTTGCATAGCGTTACGCATTGCCCGGTCGGTTGCGTGCACATCCTTCTTCAACCTTTCGGTCTGCTCCTCCTTCTTTTTCTGTTCCTTCCTCTTCCCTCGTTTCTCTGTTTCCAATTCCCCCATTAGCAGCCTGTTTTCGCCTTCTTCTCTCGCAATTAACCCCAACACATCCTCCGTTTCCTTCCGGATGCTCTCAAACTTTTCTGTGAGCACCGGTAGAAGTTGTTTCGGATCCCCATTGGCTTCTTCCCGTATTGGCTGGTCGATGCTCGTAGTGGATGGCGAATGCCGCCGCGTAACCGTATTGCGTCGTGGTCCTGGGCCACCCCCAGAGTTCATGTCTCTAATAACAGGTGAGACAGCAGGTTCCTGAACGGTTGGTAACTCCAACGCCGGGAAGGGGCTGCGAGATCCTCCGGCATCGTCACCGGCGTCGTTGGATGTAGAGCCCCGCGGTTCCTCCGGGATGAAATTAGACGGGAGTCGCGAATTCCCAAGCTGCGGCCGTCCATCGCGACTAAACGTCCTTAGCCGGATGACCCGGCTACCGGCTTGGAAGTTGTTGGAGCCGACAGCAATCACGCGCACATTGTAGAAATGATCTGGCTTCAGGCCGCTCACGACAATGGCAGGTTCCTGGTTTGTGGCAACCTCTCCCACTGTGGAAGGTCGGTCAGCTTTGCGCCGCCGAAGGATTACTGCGTTGGTCCCAACTCACCAACTACTCCGTTCACCTGGATCAAAAACTTCTGTACGGACCGGTTCGCCGGAGCGCGAGTCCAGTTCACCGTGGCGGCGTCGGCTCGGATATCGGCTAGCGACACATCGGGTGGATCGGGGACATCGACACCGAGGATGTTGATCAGCTCGGGGACTGGCTTCCACAAAGTCTGCCACGCTCTCCGAACCAGCCTGTAGAAATGATGCACGGTCAGTCTATAACCGTACCATGGCCGGACATCGCATCAGGAAGCGCGGCCAAACGCCGGTGCGACGCCGGGTGCGGCAAAGCCAACACACACACACACACACACACAACGCAATACGACACACAAACAGAGCCCCACGTACCAAACAACAGCAACCCCCGTCACCAACATCTTTGCATTCCTTAGGACGATAAGCTCGAGACGGAGGGCAGCGACGGCGTCAACGGTCAGGGCATAGGCGGAGTAGGAGAGATCGCGGCACAATTCCGGTGCGACGGCCCAGCAGAAGAGGGCAGCGCCGGCGGCAGCGATTAGGTTGATGCGGGCGTTCTTAGGTTCGGTGAACCACCAGGCGAGACTGGCAGAGAGGATAAGAAGGGTGGGAACCAGCGACGTCCAGGAGAGCCATGACATGACGCTGGGGTCGGTCGGGACAGCGAGGTCGGGGTGTCGAACAAGTCTCGCAACCTGCAAGAAGGAGGGACGGGAGTGGGGGTCGGGAGGAATAAGTCGCAAAAAAACATCAGAAAAGGGAAAAAAACGAGATGCCTCCCTCCCAGGCCGAGATTCGCTTGGCCTTGGCCCGCCTGGCTGCTTCATGGATGCTTCATTGGCCCTGAAAACTGGGGACGTTCGCAATTGCCAGACAAGCCATCGGGGCTCCATCGTGGCATTGACGCCCCGAATGAGGTGCCGGCTGTTCAGTGGTCAGACGGGCCGTTAGTTGCGTCTGTCTGTGGAGATCACTGCCGAGAGCGTGGCTCGGGACCTTAAAAGAGGTGCCGTTGTTTCAGCGGCCTGGCACGTCTGTTGGCACCTGGATGACCACTAAGCTAGATGGAAGGACTGGATCCAATGACTGCTGCTGCATGACTTGGTAGAATGCACTTACCATTCCAGGCCAAGTCGATGTGCATCTCGGGAACTCTTTGCAAACGGTTTGAATTAACAACATATTTCACGATTCAGGTCCAGGTGCACTAACAAATGATGCTGGTGCAACATTCGGCTTAAATTATTCCCATTTCTTTCATTTTTGTCTCGGGCGGCCATCATACTCGGAGGGGCGGAGTCGTTCTAGGCAGCTCGTCAGACGCGAGGATCAACCAAGCGTTCCGCAGCACCAACAACCAACACCTTATAACAACATGACGAGATAGTCCATAGTAAGTGGCCAGTCTCCGCTTTTAGAACATGGTGTATCGTACCCAGTGGAACGCTGCTGTAGACAGACTCATTCTGGAAGGGGGAAGGGAAAGGGAAAGGGAGAGAAGAACTAAAAGCGGGGGGTATAAAGAGAGATGAAAAGAAAAGGAGAATTGTCTCGGTAGTTATATTTGCATTATCCAGGTTGTCTCGAAACAGCAACCCGAGGAGACGAAGTTGCTCGTACTCTCCGTCTCTTCTTGCCGGTGTTCTGGCCGCGGGCCGCTGATCATCACGGCCGGGTCTAAGCGCCCCTCCAGACGAACCTATGGCAGAGGGAAACTCGGTCGTTGATACAGAAGGTGAAGCAGGTGACCAGAATCACCCGCCAGCTTAGAGGTTCCAAGGCTGTTTCCCCTCCACGGCATCGCGGCGGCAAGCTCCAGCAGCCTAAAAACCCCTACCAAACCGACGGGATTTGCGCCGCCCAGCCCGGTCATGTGCCTCTGCGTGCTTCCCCAGCGGTCGCCCCAGCCTTCTGAACCCTTGTTTCCCCAACCAAGCCAGCCACAATTTGTCGGGCCAATGCTTCAATGTGGCCGCCCGCTGTTGATCCCCAATGCCAACGCTCTAGAGCGCGTCTTGTGGGACAATAGGCGCCTTTTGCTTTGGTCCACAATGCCTCATCTGGAATGGGAACTGCCTATAGTCACTAGGGCAAGTTTCGGGCGTCTGAATTGTTGTTGCCCATTACCTAGGGAGCTACGGGCATCAGCCTCACCTCCCACCCAACTCTTCCACTCCTCGGTGCACCGGCTTCTTTCATCGTCGCGGCGTTGTCCGACTCATCGATGATGGGTTGAGTGCCCATGACATCAGCGAGGGGAACCCAGGCTTGCTTGTGACAAGGGTCCAAATCCTCAGCGGACCGAGGGGAAGACTTTGCAAATACCAAGCCCGGTAGCAGACTCTCACCAAATTGGCGGTGTCGTATTGGTGGGCCAGAAGTACCGGACTTGTCTCGAGTGCAAAGGGTCAGCCTGGCCAAGGCCGGGTGACTGGTGGGATTCTCGGCGTTTGTTGAGCCCTCGTGATTGTCCCTGGACATCTCGGCTGCTCAACGCCCTGGTTCCTTGAACTTACTTCAAGAACCGTCCTTGTTCCTGATCTACGACGTGGCTCGCAGTTTGGGCCGAAGTTCACCGAATGCGTCAGGTTGGTAGCGCCCGTTGTTGTTTTTTGTCTTAATTCGAAGCTGCATCTGTTTTAAACGGTTTTCGCGTGCATTAGCGACCAAGACGCCGGGCTGCCCAATCCATTCCCCTCCCTCCGGGCCTTCCCTTGCGTTCCTCGGCCCCTCGATTTCCAAAGCCGATTTAAGCGCAACTCCCGTCTGCAGCTTCCAACGCCGCTTTGATCCCGCCGTCTCCCGTCTCGTCTCTGCTACAACCTCCGAAGACGGTCGTCGCTGCGTTTGCATTTGCGTTTGCGTTCCCATTCGCATTTACATCCCCCACCGTGCCTCAGCGCATCGCATCCTCCCAAAACACACTGCGCCCCGTATCCACGAGTTGCCGGAAACGAAAGTCTAGGCGTGGCGACTCGGCGCTCCATAATACTTCGCTCGCTGCCTCGGCTTACACCTGTGCAACCCGTCATAATTTTCATACCTGCGCAGGACAAGTACAAAAGCTCCGCCGCAATTCCTGGCCGCAAGGCCGCCGCACACTCCAGAAGAGCAAAATAATCTCCCCAGACCGTTGATCGCCTGCCTATCATGCAGTACGTTAGGAATCTGAGCGATTCGGTCTCGACGGCATGGAACTCGATCAACCCGGCCACCCTTAGCGGAGCCATCGACGTGATCGTTGTTGAACAGGAGGACGGTAGCCTGTCATGTTCTCCTTTCCATGTGCGCTTCGGCAAGTTTTCGTTGTTGCGCCCATACGAGAAGAAGGTCGAGTTCAAGGTCAATGGCGTCAAGCAGCCCTACTCGATGAAGCTCGGCGAGGGCGGGGAGGCCTTCTTCGTATTCGAAACCAGTGACACGATCCCCAAGAGCTTACAGACGTCGCCATTGGTGTCGCCCGCCTCCAGCCCCCCTCTGGATGCCCTACAAAACGGCCAGCCACCGCTGCAAGAGCCCGAATCGCTCGATCTCAACGACCCTATCGGAAAATCACGGTCGGCGAGCTTCAACCGGCCACCACCTACAGTCCTCCACTCGATCGGGCGAGATGGTATGCTGAGCCCTCGGACGGACGGATGGAATATTTGCTAACAAGAATCAGGGCTGCTCACACCGAGGTCAACCTCTCCGGAGTTCTCCAGGGGAGTTCCGTCTTCCACCGATGGGTCGCCCCCCCGACCCCACAGCGAAGAGATCCTGCCCCGGGCAGGGCGGAAGCTGTCTAGCGATCACGGTTCGAGCGAGGATGATGATGCGATGTACTTGGATCGGTCCACGAGCCCTCCTCCCCTTCCCCCGGCCGAGGCTCGGCAGCGGGCGATCAACCTTTCCAGGGAACTCTCCGCCGTCAACATCCCGACCCACGTCACCGAAACAGGAGACCTGATGCTGGATATGACGGGGTACAAGAACAGCGACGAGGACGCTATCCGAGCCGAGATCCTTGCCCGCAAGGTTCTCTCGGAAGAGCTCGACGGCAACTACGATATCGGGGCTCTCTTTGGCGTCGACGAGCGTGGGAATCTGTGGATCTACAGTAGCGAGGAAGCGAAGAGTGCCGCTATGAAGAAAGCTATGGAATCGTCATTACGCGGCCCACCCGGTATAGCCATGGACGCCGTCTCCGACCCTGGCTACCAAAGCGACAGCAGCGACGCCACAGCATCTCCGACTACCTCGAACCACAGGAGGACTGAGTCCGATCTCGGGCAGATGACTTTACAGACGCCTCCCAGCTCACCCGGCACGCCGGCCGCCGGCGATCCCAATCGAAACTACGCTAAGACGCTGCGGTTGACTAGTGATCAGCTGAAGGCCCTTGACTTGCAACCGGGTGAGAACTCGATGAGCTTTACGGTGAACAGGGCCACTTGCCAGGCCTACATGTACCTGTGGAAACACGAGACCCCCGTGGTGATTTCGGATATTGACGGGACCATTACCAAATCCGACGCACTCGGCCACGTGCTGAACATGATTGGACGAGACTGGACGCATGCAGGTGTCGCGAAGCTGTACAACGACATCGTGTCCAATGGCTACAACATCATGTACCTGACCAGTCGGTCCGTGGGGCAAGCCGACAGCACGAGGACGTACCTTGCGGGGATTACCCAGGACGGGTTCCGCCTCCCCCGAGGCCCCACCATCCTGTCACCGGACCGGACCATGGCCGCGCTGCGCCGCGAGATCTACCTGCGCAAGCCGCACATCTTCAAGATGTCGACGCTGCGCGACATCCGCAGCCTGTACGGCCCGGACCGGACGCCCTTCTACGCCGGCTTCGGCAACCGCTTCACGGACCAGATCTCGTATCGCACCGTCGACGTGCCGCGCACCCGCATCTTCACCATCAACTCCAACGCCGAGGTGTCCCTGGACCTGCTGAGCCTCAACCGCATGAAGCTCAGCTACGTCAACATGGGCGAGGTCGTCGACCACTACTTTCCCCCCGTCGGCACCCTCGTCAAGGGCGGCGGCGAGGAGTACACCGACTTCCGCTACTGGCGCGACACCCCGCTCGAGCTGGACGAGTTTTCGGGCAGCGACACTGAGCGCGAGGATGACGACGACGACGATGATGAAGACGACGGTCATGACGAAGAGTATGCCGAGGACGAGGACGAAGAGGTGGGCGAGGGCATGGCCGATAGCTACCTCTCGCGGAACTCGATGGACGATTACGGCGAGGGCAGCGTGCTGGGCGAGAGCTACGACGAGGAGCGCATGATGGGGTCTGCGATGGAGGACGAGTATGCCGATGACGAGGACGGCGAGTATGAGGAGGATGAGGAAGGGGGCGTGGTTGACGAGGTGATTGGCGAGGCGGTCGATGAGGCCGAAGACCGGCTGCCGACTCCGGTCGGGAACGTCACGTCGACGGATGCCGGCGTGCATGATGTTGATGCGGAGCTCATCACCGGTGTCAAGAACTTGAGGGTGGACAAGAAGTAAACTGATCGGGTATTGGTTGTTGTTGCTGTGGGGAAGAGTACGGGTATTTCGGGGGCGCATCCAGACTTTGGAGACGGAGTTGGCGCTTGGTATGGGCATTTTATGAGGCCATAGACCGTAGACTATTTGGGGGGATGTTTTCTTTCGCATATTGCATAGCGCGGCGCACGGCGGGAGCTTGGGCTTTGTACATAGCATCTAGACATGCATACACATTTTTCATGATTATTTCTGGGTACCAATCCTGCATTTCGGGTGATTTGATGGGTCCATTGCAACGGAGACTTTGGCCGAGATGCAGTGTGTACGAGTGTGGGGTGTAAGAAGACTTAAAAGGGTATGACTTCGGGCCTCCTGCATTATCCTTAGAATCCCTAAACGCCAGAGCGCCGCCGACTATAATGCCTCAGACGGCACCATCCCTAATTTTATAGAGCCATAAAGACAGACCCTGAATCTCACGAGAAGAGAACAACAGGCTCATCATGGCTCGGCCATCCTCGTCTCCTCAGCCCTCGTCCCAAAATATTCTCTTATTGCTCGTCTCAACTCCCTCCCCACCAACATCCTCCGTCTCCACATCCATCGCATCCCTTCCCTCCGCAGGCCCGTCCAGCATCTCCTCATCATCATCCTCTTCGTCACTACTCTCCTCCGCCCCCTCCTGCCCGGCCCCACACATCCCTCAACCCCCACGGCACACCACTCAGCAAAACCTCTCCCCCGGGCAGCCTCACCCCCCACTCACTAGGCATAACCCTCGGCAACGCAATCTTATTCTTCTCCCTCGCCAACTCCATAATCCAATCCTTACTCGCACCACCCGCCCCCCCGGCCCCAGCCCCCCCGCCAATCCCACCACCACCACCGCCCCCACGGAACTGAAACCCCAACCGACTCGCAATCGCCAGCTGCACAGCATTAGCGCTGACCGCCGCGTCGCCGACATTAACCGGCGCGGCGCCGGACGCCGTCCGAGGGCCGCGCCCCGGCGTGCGAGGTGTAGGGGTCGGCCGCGAGGTGCAGCGCGTCCGAGAGCACCGCCGACGTGTGCCGGTACGCGAAATCGAGCAAGAGGAGCGGCACGCGCTGCTCGAAGGCTGTCACGCCCTGCGCCGTGAGCAGGAGCTCGATGGTGCGGGCGTCGCGGGGGCGCGGGGCGGTGCTGGAGGAGGGGGTGGGGTTGGGGTGGGTGGTTGGTTGTTGTTGGGGTTGGGGAGGGGGGTTTTGTGGTGGTTGTGGTTGTTGGGGGTTCGGCGGTTGGGTTTGCGAGGGTGTGGTTGCTGATGGTTGGGTTTGGCCCGGCTGGGACTGTGAGGGTGGTTGTTGTGTTTGTGTGTTGTTGGTGAGGGTTTGGGAGGTCGAGGCGGCAGAGGAGGGGACGCCGTTAGTTTGAGGCGCCGCGCCGCCGGTGGTAGACATGGTGATTGTGTTACTGTAGGATTCGATGGCGGAAGAGATTATTGATGCTCGCGATACGATGGGAAGCCGAGGCCAGTCGACTGCGGCGGATAATCGCGATGGATTGGAGGAAGAGGTAGTTAGACGAGGTTCGGCTAAGTACTTTCGTAGTGGTCGTGTTTAGAATCGGCGAGGAGTATAATCCTGTGGATGGAATAAGTGGCAGGTTTATATAGCTGAATTCAATGGCGGCAATGATATTTATTTAGTTCAATGGGCCGGTGGATAAGGTAGACCATTCAAGCTTGGGGTTCATTCAGATCGCGGATTGCCACTGCCTGCAAGAAACGACCGCGGAGATGCCTAGTGCCAAGCCCTGTCCTGAAGCTGGAATGCAAGATCGGAGCCGCATTGTTCCGCCGTCGACCTTGAATGGAGAGGGGCGCACTGACCAGTGCTTATTTCTCGACCCCTGCCAAAAAAAAAATATGGTCCAATGGGTCACAACGCGGGATTGTCCAGGGCGCGATGGAGGGGCAGACAACCCCACCTTCAGGGTGGGTGCCGATACAGGAGGGAACCGTGAAACTTGCGATGACTCCCAATTATTTATTCTCTCCCGTAGGTTTGGGGCTTGCAAGTAGAAAGCCCAAAAATAATTGACATCACACCCCGCCCAAACTGATCATGGAGACAACACTACCTCTTCCCTTCCTCGTCAGCGTCAATGTCCCCCCAGGACTCGGCGGCGAAAAGGAAGGCCTCAACCGTGAGGAAGTGTCGAGTCTTGGCTGTGTCTTCTTCGAGGTTGCGCCGCAGACACTCGACAAAATCCTACGATTCCTTGGTCGCCATAACACCGAATTCCAGGCCTTCTTCGACGTGACACGCCTTGACTCTCGCGACGACATCATCACCCTGCTTGACGCTGGCGCCCGCAAAGTCTTCGTGCGCCCTGAGCAGCTGCCCGACTTCGCCGAGTTTAGCTCAAGAGTTGCCCCGATCCTAGACGGCAACAACGCCGCGAAAGTGTCCTCGACTGCCACCAACCATGGTCTGCTTGTCTCTGGCCTCGACCAGACAGGAGCCAATCTCTCCCAGTTCGTCGAGGAAACCAAGGCAAAGAAGATTCAGCCTCTCTTTATCAAGCCCATCCCTGGGGCCAACCTAGAAGAGTTCCTCAAGATTGCGGCGGATTGCAATGCCATTCCGATTCTGTCATCGACCGAACTGAGTAGCACACCACAAGCTGGGAAGCTTTCCGTGCCCAAGATTCTTGCCGCTACCTGGAAGTCGGATCGCGCGGACGGTTTGATCCCTACCGTCGTTGTTGACGAACATGACACGGCGCTAGGCTTGGTGTACAGCAGCGAGGAGAGCGTGGGGGAGGCGCTGAAGACACAAACGGGCGTCTATCAGAGCCGGAAGCGCGGCCTGTGGTACAAGGGGGCCACATCCGGCGACACACAAGAACTTGTCCGGATATCGTTAGACTGCGACAACGATGCATTGAAGTTTGTCGTGAGGCAAAAGGGGCGCTTCTGCCACCTGGAACAGTCGGGCTGTTTCGGGGATCTGAAGGGCCTCGCCAAACTAGAGAGCACCCTTCTGTCGAGAAAGCAGTCGGCACCAGCGGGTTCCTACACCGCCCGCTTGTTCTCGGATGAGAAGCTACTACGGGCCAAGATCATGGAGGAGGCCGAGGAACTCTGTGATGCAAACACACCCGAGAATGTTGCCTTTGAAGCTGCCGACCTCATCTACTTTGCGCTGACCAAGGCTGTGGGCGCCGGTGTGACATTGGCTGATATCGAAAAGAGTCTCGACGCTAAGAGCTTCAAGGTCAAGCGTAGGACAGGCGATGCTAAGGGGAAGTGGGCAGAAAAGGAGGGCATCAAGCCGGCGGCGAGCGCAGTCCCCGTTGTCCCAGTACAAGAGACTCCTAAGGAAGCCGCCCCTGAAAGGATCACCATGAAGGTCTTCGACATGGCTACTGCTTCAAGAAAAGAACTCGACGAGGCTTTGAGACGGCCATCGCAAAAGTCGTCCGACACCATCATGAAGATCATCACCCCGATTATCGATGACGTCCGGAAGAAGGGCGACAAGGGGGTCTCGAATACTACCCACAAGTTTGAGAAGGCAACTTCAAGACGTCGCCCGTCCTTAAGGCGCCGTTCCCCGAGTCGCTCATGCAGCTGCCTACCGAGACCATCAAGGCGATGGACGTGTCCTTCGAGAACATCCGCAAGTTCCACGCTGCCCAGAAGGAAGAGAAGCCACTGCAGGTGGAAACCATCCCTGGTGTTGTCTGCAGCCGCTTCTCGCGGCCCCCAGAAGCAGTCGGCCTCTACGTCCCCGGAGGCACCGCAGTGTTGCCCAGCACAGCGTTTATGCTTGGCGTGCCAGCTATGGTCGCCGCTTGCAAGAAGATCGTCCTCGCGTCGCCGCCCCGGTCAGACGGTACTATCACGCCCGAGATTGTTTACGTCGCCCACAAGGTGGGGGCAGAGTCATGTCCTGGCTGCGTGCGCAGCCGTCGCCGCCATGGCGTACGGCACCGAGAGCGTGAGCAAGGTGGACAAGATCCTCGGCCCCGGCAACCAGTTCGTCACGGCGGCCAAGATGTTCGTCAGCAACGACACTAATGCTGGTGTCGGCATCGACATGCCGGCTGGGCCATCCGAGGTCTTGGTGATCGCCGACAAGGACGCCAACCCGGCATTCGTCGCCTCGGACCTCCTATCCCAAGCCGAGCACGGTGTTGACAGCCAAGTCATCCTGATTGCCATTGATCTCACGGATGCCCAGCTGTTGGCCATCGAAGACGAGGTCCACAAGCAGGCCATGGCACTTCCGCGGGTGGACATTGTGCGGGGTTCTATCGCGCACTCCCTCACCGTGCGCGTCAAGACGGTAGATGAGGCGATGGAGATCAGCAACCAGTACGCCCCGGAACACTTGATCCTTCAGATCAAGGACGCCGAGTCCGTGGTGGACAAGGTCATGAACGCCGGGAGCGTCTTCATCGGCGAATGGACCCCGGAGAGCGTTGGGGATTACTCGGCCGGCGTCAACCACTCGCTGCGTAAGTAGCCATCATCCTGGCAGTTCTTTTCTTAGTACTGACAACGTGTTTAGCAACCTACGGCTATGCCAAGCAGTACTCGGGCGTCAACCTCGCATCCTTCGTCAAGCACATCACCAGCTCCAACCTCACCGCCGAGGGTCTCCGCAATGTGGGCGAGGCCGTGATGCAACTCGCCAAGGTCGAGGAGCTCGAGGCCCACCGGAGGGCGGTCAGCATCAGGCTGGCGCACATGGATCAGTGATTTTGGATAGATGGCGAAGCATTTGGTTTTCCTGTTACATAAAAACGGCTTGGTTAATAGAATTCACATGTCGTCCGTCCCCACTGATGCCCTATGCCTTCAATGGTACACCAACATGTTAATATGGATTCACGCTTTCGGGCTGCGGCTACTTGAGAGCCTTATTCGGACGGCTCAAAAACTGCAATGATACTACCAAAAAGGTCGAAACGAAGTCTGGCACTGGATAGGTGGTAAACACTGCGCAGATACCCTTCTTAGTTATCATGTACGAAGGCAAGACCTGGATGCCTGTCACCTTAGGCATTTGGTTATTCCCCAAAGTGGCGGTCCATATTGGCATTTATTTTCCTCCTTTTTTTCCTTTCTTTTTCCCCTCTCAAACGTCATGGCAGAGGTGGTGGTCACTCGATGGTTGATGCTCTCAACAATGACGTAACAGGCTGCTGCTATCATGTGAGGTTTCTGACTGACTTTGAAACAGCCTTATGAGAAGGATAAATATTGATACCTTATCATACCGGCAAACCGGCTTAGGTATTCCTTTTGAGATCTTTCTACAAGAGCGCCGATGGGGTAACAACCTCTTTTGGTTCTCGTGGGCAGCTGAAATTCCTTCCATAGTTACTGGTTGTCCGGATGGCCCGGCCCGTCGGGGTTTGAACACAGCAAAACCCCGAAGTTGCGTCTTCGTTGTTTGCTTGTTGGCGGAGTTCAGCGAGCGCCAATGGTCCTTTCCCCCCATTTGCACGTCTTTCTGCCAGTAAAACAAGGGGTAGGTGGTGTGATGTGCCGAGCATCCGAGGTTTTCATGCTGTTGTTGGATGTATTTTTCGCCGATGCACGCAGGGTGCTGTGTTTCATGCAGGCACCGCCTCGCACGGGCTGTGGGGCCTTAAAGATGGGCCCAAATGTGTTTCCGCGTATTGGTCCTAGCCAAGGTCTTGGGGGCTGACCTGGCAGAAAGGATGGTCTCCGTGGGGTTGGCCCCGAAGACCGCATTCGCTACACGTGTCTATCTCTTCTTCTGCGAGGTCGGGAGATCGGGCGTTTCTAGCGCCGCGTGAGGGGGATCTTGGGGGTTTCCCATGTGAGACGAGAAACGGGATGAGATGGAAGGGGAATCCACGGAAGATCCGCAGAGAGTCTGCCGTTGCGGGTTCGCCAACGACTCGAGCCTCCCCCGTATGCAACGCGAACGGTAAGATTAAATATCCACAGCGCCTCTCTCATGTCAGCGGCATGTGTGGGAAGCAA